AGGGGAGAGGACGGGAGAGGAGGGGAGGGGAGAGGAGAGGAGAGGAGAGGAGTGGACGAACCTTGAGGCCACTGATTGTATCCGTCGATCTGTCTCGATTGTATCAATGACAAATGAATTCCTTCACCTTCTCCTCCTCTACCAAACTTTTCCCTTCAAAATCTCCATTTTGAGCTCCGATGTCAACGCATTCCTTCCAATCTCGTGTCTGGAAGCGACTAGTAAGGGGAACACGAACGGGAATGAACATGGCAAATGGGGGAGGAAGAGGGGGAGGAGAGGGAGGACCTGTTTTGTCAGTTCGTCATCAAAGTATCCCCTGCTGTTCTCCTTGTTTCTCTTGATCTTGTATTTCTCTTCCTTGTCTTTCGCAAAGAATCTCTTCATCTCCTCATCAAATCGTTCAATGACTTCCTCGGGAATGCCATGGTTGGTGACCTGCAAATATGAAAGTGACCTTTCCTCTCCAGCTTCCCGTCCACATGCCTCCAACTCTCCTTCCTCCTCGCGCCCACCCCCCTGCCCACCCGCCCACCCTTCTCGTTCTCTCGATTTCCCGCCCTTGATCCTCCCTCGCTCCTCACCTGGAAAAAACCCCAGTCTCTTGCCGCATGAGAGATTTGCTGCACAGCATGCATGGAAGGGTCCAGCTTCTCAGCTCTGATCAGCTCAGCAATGTCGATGACTGGCGGCCCCTCCTGAGGCTGCGCTGGGAGGGAGAGAGAGAGACGTCTGGGCTTCTCCCAGAGCATGAGAGGCGGGTGATGCCCTTGCGAATCTTTATCCTCCCAGAGGCAACAGGGGAAACATGCTCTCGAGTCTAGAAGAACGTGTGAAACAAGCAAAAAACAACAAGAGACCAGTATGAGACAAGCAAAGGACAAGTACGAGACAAGTGAGAGATAATTAGAAGATTAGCGAAAGATGTCATAGGTCTTGTCATATGATGTCTCATACCTTGACTCGAACATTAACAACGTTGCTGAAGCCAGACACGAATGCGAAGGCGCCATGGAAACCAGACAGGCACGTCACAAATGTCAAGAACTTGCGGAGGTGCATATGCAGGCCTGCAGCTGGACGATAAGGTTAATTTATGTGAAAAGACAAGAACAGATGGCAACAGTGCCAAAAACACAAAATGGAGTAGGTAAGCAGAAGCCGCGAGGAGGCAGTGGAGGAGAGACGAGAGACGGAGGGACGAAGAGAGGAGAGCATGGAAAGGGGAGGGGAACCGATGGGCTGGCTACTTCTCCTCTCCTATTCTCTTCTCTCCTCATCTCCTATCGACATTTCTTTGGGACGCGGACGCGTAGCCCCTCATCCCCTCATTGCCCTTCATGGCGATGCGACGGATAAACTGGGGGGTCCTCTGATTGTCCTCGTACTGATTTTTAACTTAACTTGAGCAAACGGCGGGATAAGGGGTACCCGTACCCGAGTAAAACTCTATTCTTTTGGGTAGGGGTAGGGCTAGGGTGGGGGTAGGGTGGGGGTAGGGTAGGCGGTACTGAGGGGTCAGTACTTATCCTCCCCCTCCTTTGTTTGCTTCGGTTTGCCCTTCTTTTTCAGTCAATAAAGAGCAGTCAGTAGTTGCGCAAACACGGACAGCAGACTGAGGGCTGAGACTGAGCCTGAGAGGTCTTATGCCGATGTCCTCTAGTGACACAAACAGACGGAGCACAAGTTTGTTAGACTTGTACTGTGCCAAAGTAATGCAGACACCATATCGGAAGCGGCCTCGCACCAGGGAAGTGACCTTTACCGTTGGGTGGAAATCAGTTTCAGAATAGTCACAATTATATAGATGACTGCGTTACCGTACCATACGGTATCCTTTAGCACGTTGGAAGACTCGCGGTACGAAAGACTGTTGAAAGAAGTTTTAGTACGATTTCGCAGTCTAAACGCAAGTTGTTTCAGCGCGAGATTGATTTCAGTTTCTAGGGTTTCGGGTGACGGGCATAGGTTCAATCCATCTGTGCAAACGTTCTGAGTCTTAACGCAGAAGCATGATGCCATGCAGCAGAGCTGAATTATTCGGTTCGCGAAAAGGAGATGTTTTCTCTTATCCAAGACCGTACGCAACTTGGCAACCGCCCACTGTGACGTCGGATGCCTCCGGAGAGCTCGACACCACTGGGGTCACCCGTGCTTGCAGCTCGTACCGCACAGCCCCGGTTCCTGGGCATTGCTGCGGCGTCGCCGCCGTCACGGGCGGTGTTGGTCTCGGCTACCGCTCAGTGACCATCGGACTCGGAGGCTAGTGAGGACGGGTTTTACTGGCAGAAGGTAAAAAGGAGTATAGGATTTACTGGCAGAAGGTAAAAAGTGCCTCAAGCAAAACAAAGCAGGAACAAGCTAAACCGGCATGCACACAGCGCACAGCGAGAAGCTGCCACCAGCACTGCTGGCACCCAGACGCGGCACCGCCAGCCCAAGCGCGAAGCCGCGCAGACAAGCAGCCTAAGGGTCAGGCAATCAAGCAACAAGGCGTTGCCCGGGGGTCCGCCTGGGGCAGCGGACGGAGGGAGGCTGGACACAGGAACACGGTACCGCTCGAGGTAGTCCTCCTCGCTAGCCTCCGAGTCAGCGGTAGCCGAGTCAGCGGTAGCCGCCTCAAAAGTACCTCAAGCAAAAGCCATATGGATTTACTGGCAGAAGGTAAAAAGTGCCTCAAGCAAAACAAAGCAGGATCAAGCTAAACCTCCTGGCACACAGCACACAGCGAGAAGCTGCACAATCACACACAAAACACAAGCCCGAACACAACCAGCACTGCTGGGAGTGGATTTACTGGCAGAAGGTAAAAAGTGCCTCAAGCAGAACAAAGCAGGAACAAGCTAAACCTGCTGGCACCCAGACGCGGCACCGCCAGCCCACCAGCGTGCACAGGGTCTACACCCCGCTGTTTACTATACGGCCGCCCGGCTATCGCTCGCTTCCTCGCTTGGTACTCTGACCAGCCAATGTCACGGACATTGCTCTCTCCTCATAGCCTGGACGTTCACTGCTCGAGATCTCTCCGTGCCCAGAAGCATCCTCTGGCGACCTTCTTCTTTGAGGCGCACGACTTCGTTCATAATGAGACACAATGGATTTACTGGCATAATGCTGGACGTCGTGTGAAGGCTCCTGCACCGGCTGCAGATGCGGCGCGGCGATCCCACCTGCCCCGGCTGCTGTGCCTGATGACGCAGGACGCCCCCCGGCATCTGTGGTACACATCCCTGGTTTGCGCGCTCTCGTCGACTCGTCTCATGAGCACTTCATTGCGGCTGCTTTTCTGCGCCGCTTCGCGCTTGGGCTGGCGATCATCGCCCGGGTCTCAGAGTCTGCTGACGGTTGGCGATGCCGCGTCTGGGTGCCAGCAGTGCTGGTTCTTTTCGGGCTTGTGTTTTGTGTGTGTTTGTGCAGCTTCTCGCTGTGAACTGTGTGCATGCCGGTTTAGCTTGTTCCTGCTTTGTTTTGCTTGAGGCACTTTTTACCTCGCGCCATCTGCAGCCGGTGCAGGAGCCTTCACACGACGGTAGAGGATCGCTCCAGCATTCAAGATTATGAACGAAGTCGTGCGCCTCAACGAAGAAGGTCGCCAGAGGATGCTTCTGGGCACGGAGAGATCTCGAGCAGTGAACGTCCAGGCTATGAGGAGAGGGCAAGGTCCGGGACATCGGCTGGTCAGAGTACCAAGCGAGGAAGCGAGCGATAGCCGTATAGTAAACAGCGGGGTGTAGACCCTCAGAGGGCGTGAACTCGTCCCCTCCCCGACTATGCGGAAGCTCCCGCTTGAACCTCGCAAACTCTAGCAGGTCGGGATGCGCGGCGAGGTACTGCAGCGTCTGAGAAGATTCGCAAACATTGCGCTGCATATGCTATGACTACTCCTCCTCGAGCGTAAGTTCATCCCTCTTGCCATCTCGACGGTCGGTACCCTGCATCCTGACACCCTCCGCTTCATCTGGTATCTCGCGGACATCATTGCTCAGCGCTCGATGCCTCTTGAGGATGCCATGATGTGCCTGATGACGGCCCTGCTGCTGAGGTCCTGGCTCGCAAACGCGCCGCCACCTATCAGCGCCTCACTATGCAGCTGACGCTGGAGGCGCTCTTGTCTGGTGCGAGGCGCATGACGCCCTTGCGGGCGCAAGCACTTCTCGAGCCAGAGGACAGCTCCTCCAGTCCTCGGACTTTGTCGAGTCGCCCGAGGGGGAGTCTTCGCCGGAGGTCTCCGACTCCGATAAAACAAGGTATAGGATTACGATGGGGGAAACACGTCGAGTGGCCCCGACGATCGGCGCGGAGCTGGCGAAGCGTCTCCGTCCCTCACTGTGACGTCGGGTGCCTCCGGAGAGCTC